TAGATGTGTGTGTGTGTGGGTAGGTGTGTGTGATAATGCTCCTGCATAACAATTTGTGGGATATGACATTTTGAATTGTATGTGATGAATTTTTTTTTAATACTACAGTTTACGTAGTGTCGTGATCTTCTAGAAGGCGTCTCAGAAGGCTTATTTTGTTTACAACAACTGATTACAACATTGGTAGCCGAACGCATTCATTTAAGATAAATCGCAAGATACAAGATGACATTTATCAGAGTACCACAGACAAACATAGGCTACTTAATGTAGCTTTAACCCATTGTAAAAGAACAATAATTAACTTATATTGCTGTTACGTTTTTAACGACAATCCGCTCGGCTCAGATGGTCATCGACGATGGCCAACGGATAGTCGACCGTCAACCTGAGTGGGTCAGTAATTTTATTTCAAAATAACGTTTATATAAAGACGTTATTTACAGACTGCAGGCCCTACTCATTCAGCATAAGACTGCACGCCAACATCTAAAAACCATATCATATCGAGTGCATTAAAATTCATTAGTTGTTTTGTTTGCATTATGTCTTATCATATTGTTTGCCAATTTTCCATTTTGGTTTGAATCATCATTAGCGCTTGTGAATGGTATGGCCAAAACCCGAGGTGTAGGCCTATGTCTTCTTATCAGATATACGGTATTTACACTCTGGACGATGGTGCGTAGTTATTAATTGTGTTGAAAATAAATAAATATATAACGAAGTTAACTCTTCTGTGATGTTTATGTTTGTATGTGTTGTTTTAAACTGAGCATATTGAATAAATCAATCAAAGAAATATTGCACTTGAAGTGTGTTATATATGTATATAGGCCAAAATGGCAACAGAAAAGAAAACAACACAAAACATTATAAAGTAAACTGGAATAAGCATTTACAATTTTTAAGATATAAATATGTAAACGAAATCAAACATTAAACATGATATAACATAATAATAACTTAATAGGCCTAATAGTACATTTTGATTAATGACATAAAACACCGATTATGTTTGCATTGACCTTGTTTAACATACTTTCCATAACATTAAATGTTGTCAATTATGCCAGAATTAAGCCTATATTCTTATAATGAAAAAATTAAATATTATTTAAGCTGGTATTTGCAAAAATGGATAGTGTTTTGTGATCCGTAGGTGCCAAAGAACACAAAACAACCGGAAAATGGGACGGTCGAAAAATCATCCAATTTCGACAGAAACGTGAATATACCCTTTACGTTTTTCCCCCAAAATTTTAATATTTTTTAGTCGCTTTTCTGCTGATTCCTATAGAGAGTATGGTGCCCAGGGATCATGAAAACACCGATTATGTTTTCATGATACTTACGCTGGCCTGAGGTCCTGGACACAGAGGGTGCTTATGCACCACTAGCAATTAAATAAGGAATTAAGAAACCGTTTAAAGAGCAACTTTATGGATAGCCTAATTAAAATTTTCAAGCATTAGGCTTATTTTGCAACAACATCATAAAGAATAATTGAAAGAAATGCAGTAAATGATAATTTATTTCCAATTACTGTTTTTATAGAAACCAAATAGAAAGCTTACTTAAATAGGCCTATAAAGGTAAACTTTGGAATAATAAACCATTTTTTTCAATTATTATTATTATTATATATATAGGCCTATATATATATATATATATATATATATATATAATGTGTGTGGGGGGGGGAGGGGTGGGTGTGTGTGTGTGTGTGTATTCTTGATAGTAAATAGATCGGAACTTTGAATCTCGAACTGTCTCTGTCTCTCTTCGGAGTTATTGTCTGAAAGTTTGCTTCATCTACATCTGCCATCTTCAGTGTATACCGGTAGCGATTACCCTCGCGCAATCTTCTTTATAAACGGAGTGAATAATTGCGATACATTGATCGTGGTGTTTTTAAGATGTATTTGCTGCCTGCTGTTACACAGATATATACTGTAATTACGCAATTATATTACTGTATTATATAAATACAAGACTCTTTTATTGTCACATTGTAAAAGAGAAACAAGAAGATAAAATATTAAAGGTCTACAAAGAACTAGAAAAAAGATACAGAAACTGAATAAATATACCGGCTAATAGACCTAAACATAGTTCTTTTTTCTTAAGCTTTCAATGTTTTAATGTAATTTTTATATAATTTTTCATATTTCATGACCGACGATATAAACCTATCATTAGACTTGTCACTCATATAGGCCTACATTCTAACGAACAAACATACGAGTAGGTCTAGTTTACTATCATAGATGTAAGTTGTTTAGTTACTTAAGTAGACGAATTGTAGAGTTGACATTTTGAAAGGAAGTGTAGGCCTATTGTTAGATTGGAAGCCTGACTCGATGAAGAAAGGTCAATCGATTTCAGATCAGAAGGAGTGAAAAGATTAGACCTACTACACTAATACAGTATAAGACACCTCTTATATACGTATGGTACGGTATATTGCGAAATAGAAAACATATTGTGATGTCATGATCTTATCAAGTCACACTTTGTATGCGGCAACTTCCTATTTAATATTGCACGTTGGCATATTGACACTATAATAAAGCGGTTAGGAAGTTTGACGTGACACTCAACCCTTCTTGCCTTCACCATGACGGAAACAGTAAGTGAATTTATATTTTGATATGAAATTTGTAATTTGTTATTATAAATATTGTCAATACTTCTATTTTTCTACATTTCGCTTCAAATCCACTTCACAATATTTCTGTGAATAATTACCCAATTGGCATCAATTATCAATTATTTAATTTAAAAAAAACAAAACCATTTTTTCATTTTGTCGATGGCTAGCCGGCTGTACACACTAGCACATAACACAATGGAGTTGGTATATCTACCTATTGCATAGGCCTATCAGATATGATCAGTGGCTGACTTAAACGAGGGTACAGCGTAATGACCTCTCTCCCCCCACCACCAACTCCTTTCATTACTACAATTTCAAATAGACTCAATATCTTTCTACTTTGGAGACCCCGTGCCTCACAACGCCTAGTCATTCATGCACTAACTTCACTACTGTAATCCTAGGCTTCTCACTATGGGCATTGGGCAACAGGTAAAATGTTGACGCCCATAGGTCATGGTTCATATCATATAATAACCGGACTTAATCCTATAGACATGACCCTATGTGCTTGGTGATGGTGGTATAAACACACGCAATACACACAACACAATATTCAACGTTGTCAAAATATACAGTATTACTTGAATAGCATACAATGAGTTAAAAAAAACCTTGCCAAAAAGAAACAATAGGACACCAACAACATTGAGACTAATACACAAGGATTTTAAAATCGAATGTTTAGACCACATAATAATAGATGGATTTATATAGCGCAAATAAACGAGGTCTCTGTGCGCTAGAAAATATTGAAGTCAAGAACACAAAGAAAAAAGCCGGAGAAAAACAAAAAACAAAAAAACAAAACAATAAACACCAAGCTAGCACCGAAGTATGGGGTTACACCATCACCGCCAACCGGAGATCTGTATGT